ACCTTCAGCAAAGGTTGTCGCCTGTGTGTAGGAGGAGCTGGTAGATATTTCAAACACCTTCTCTGAAGAAATATATTTCATTGTTTGTTCATTATTATTATTATTGAAGTTTCATTTATTAATATTCAATATAATATAAATTGTTTTACTGAAACTATGCGTTTTAATTACAGCTGTGATTAAAGTGTGCGTTTCAAAATCTATGTGAAAAAACATAAAAGCTCTGTATTTCGAAGATGACTCTAGCAAAACATCAAGTGTGCCTAATTTTTGGAAAGGTAATTTTGAGCTCTGTTGAGTTATGCAGGAATATACAGGGTGTCCCATTAAATTAGTTTTCCATCAATAACTATTGATATCTTATTTGAAAATATAGGTTTTCTACAACAATGAATTTCACGAAAAAAACTGCTTCGGAAATATTTTCAAAGTAATATATAAATTTTTGATAGGAGAGAAAGTAAAGCAACTTTTCGAAAATGCATATTTTCGAAAAATATGTTGTAACTCAGAAACGATGATTGATATCGATTTGCGGTTTTCACCATTGAGTTTGTCATAAAATTTGGCCTTCAAACATATCCATCAGTTTTCATCTATCTAGTTCAAAAACAGGAGTTTTCCTTCAAAATTTTTCGATTTGGCCCATTCTGCTCAGCGTTAGGTTGAGAAACATCCCAACCTTAATTGGTTGAAAATTCTAAATATTTGAAAAACCACCCCTCACTTAGTTTATTGTTTCGACTTCTCTAAGATTTTCACGTGCTCATATACAACTGATGACATAATACAAAGTTTGTCTGGCCCTATTTGTTGTTAGTTCTTCAACTTTTTAAAAAGAGGTTCCTCAAAAGTAGTTACCGATATTTTTCTCTCGGGCACCTTCATCCACAACAGTGTTTTCCAAGTGATCCACAACGTCTGAAACTCTTTTCTACTATAGATCGACAACCTGTTGGGAAATGCCATGAATTAAAAGTAAATATACATATTCATACTAGAAATCCAAATATTTTTCTCAGGTATCCCATCTCTGTCAATAATTAATGTTCATTGTTTCATTTTTAAGCCCAAGCATGCCTTTTTAATTAATGTTGAAAATTTTCGCAAAAACGGAGAAACTTAGAGCTTTGTGTTTCAATGAATAATTTTCCTTTTTTGTCAAAATACAACATTCGTTTTGAATCATGGAAAAGCCACAAACAAACAACAAGAGCAGGCGCTGCGTTGATATCAACAAGGAATGAAATTATACGTTGAGCTTGAAGTATTCCACTTTTATATAAATGAACGTGCACAAACTGAAAGTTTCGTAACTCTGCTAGACGTTAAGTGGATTCTCATAGAGAGCAGACCCAATTTGTTGGATACCTTTTGAAATTTACTCAAAATACCGTTATGTTTTCATATGAAATTAATTTTAATTCACGGTTAGTCGTTAGATATACTACTGTTTAGTGGTTCAAGAGGAACTACTGCAATTTTAACATATTATGTTGTACCTGCGATTGAAAATATTACTGCGAACATGTTTTTATTCAACTTTATGATGCATAATATCAAAGTGGTTTGATGATTAAAAAAATTATATATCGTAAAAAGATTGTTGTCTTTTTTTAATGTATCTCAGCAGGACTCTTTAATAATGATTTTTTTCTATGAATGCTATGTAAAATACTATTTTTCATAAATAAACGACCGTACCTTAGTCCAGGTACTTAGTGCAGGTAGATCAGCACAGGTACTTCAGGTACTGTAGGTAAATTTGCCTGTATTTGGGTTACATCAGGTGATATCCTTTGTGTTGGATTTTCTCTAGGTTCACTGTTTCTAGGAATGTGTATTGTTTTGTGTAATAACCCAAATTTCAAATTCACCTATAGTACCTGAAAAACCTACACTAAGGCGTTCTGACCGAATGAAAGAACAAACAAGAGGATGAAAAATTCATTTTGAGAAGAAGTAGAATATACGGTAGAAGAATGGCTTTTCGGGCATTTGGTCTGTTTTAGAAAGTATATTTAATAAATGTAAAAAATTAGTCAAAGACCATCCAGAATTGATAATAACCAATTCTGATAAGGGCAGTACCAAACATTCATAAACCAATATTGAGTTTGAGACCTATCATATCATCTATTGAAACACCAAATAGTATACTCTCAAATTGTAACCAATGCATAAAGCACAAATAATCAATATTATACAATAGATTATTTTGAATCTTCAAATTACATGCAAAGAATGAAACTACCTGTGAATTTCGAAATTATAAGCTTGTATATCACTTTTTAGTAACATACCATTGAGAGACATTGGAATATTATTACTAATCACATTAAATTAACAGAAACCGCCTCCATAAAATTATTAGATTTCATTTTTGATACTACTATTTTCGTTTATAACAACGAATTTTATAAACAAATACTTGGTACTCAATGGAATCAACGTTTTCACATATTCTGGCCCAGTATGTGATGGATGATTCATTATATGAATGTATTCCAAAATTATCATTACAGTTTCCTTTTTCAAAAAGTTTGTGGATGATATAACATGTGCGGTACCTAACATGTGCTGTACCTATAAAATACATTTTTGACAATTACAATCCAGTTATTCAATTCTCCAAAGAAAAGGAAAAAAAGCAACAGTACCTTTTTTAGATATTGTTTCGATCAAGAAAGATGATAACTCTGTTATATTACATTATCATACTGAACCCACTAATTCAGGCAGGTATATAAACTATCTATCCTGTCCACAAAAAATTGACATTAATTTAGTTCTTGGTTTCAAAAATCGAATAGAAAAAGTTTCTCACCCTACATTAGTAGAAAAAAATTTAAAGCAATTATTCAATATTTTATCGACTAATTTTCATCCACCAAAAATTTTGAATGAATTGTTATATAATAACTTATCTAATATCATCAACAGCAGACAAAACAATCAAGCTGAAAATACAAATTTCAAATACTCTTCCATTCCTCATGTCCCAGAACTGTCCAGAAAAATCATTAACATAATTAAACAAGAACAGATTGTAAAATTTTCGCAAAAGAAAGTTGAACCCTTGATTAAACTATATTCAAAATTGAAAGATGAAGGTCCGTTATTCGAAAAGTCACATGTAGTTTACGAAATTCCCTGCAACAATTGTGATATTCCGTATAAGTGTTTATAAAAGTAACTTTAAAAATTTAAAACGGAATTCTTGTGCTCTAACACAACACGTTCTAGATAATGATCATTAAATCGATTATTTGAACACCAAAATTCTCCATCTCCATTTCAATTTTGATAGAAATATTCAACATGTTAAAGCGGGAAGCGGAATTGTCTAGCATGATATTATTGTATTCGGTTCGGAGACATTTTTCTTTTTGAAGAAAATCGGTGCCTGGATTTTTGTGGCGTTGAATTGAACCTGGATCTATATCCTCATTGAGAAATGCAACCTCCTACTGCCGGAGAAGATGTGCATCCGCAGCCAATGTACTGGAATGACAAGACAAGTGTGCTGTCGTCAGTAAAACAATATATTGGATTCTTAGGTTTTTTCAATAAGTCTTTGATATACAATAATCAAGTAGTTGAGGCCTTCCAAATTTTAGAGATATGGTGGTTTACGATTTTCTCTATGATTTTTCATATCACTGATAGCAGAGCGACTGGTTTATAGTTATTTGAAAGACTTTTCTTGCCTTTTTTGGAAATAGGCTTCCTTGTAAAGGGCTGCAGGGTGTGAGTTCATTTGCGTACGATGACGAGCACTTCATCAGGACCTTGTTATTGAGCTGATTCAAAATTCGCCGTACTAGACGTAGTCAAAAAGCGATTTCCTGCATTGTAGATTCTGGTGTGGGAATAGTGGGTGGTGCCTTTCCTAGAACATCAACTGTGGAGTGGGACGCAAATTGTTGAGCTACTTGATTTGCTTTTTCTATGGCTGCTGTTGCAATTGAACCATCCGATTGTGTTAGTGGTGGAATTTTGAATTTTGGGTATTGATACACAACGAAATGAAACATTCAATAAACTACACAATACACATTCCTCGAAAGACTGAACCTAGAGAAACACCAACATAAAAAATATTACCTAATGTAACCCAAGTACAGGCAAATTTGAAGAGATTTCTGAATGGAAGGAAAGGACAAATACCTGCACTAAGGCATTCTAACCGTATAACAGAATAAAGAAGAAGATAAAACGTTCAGTTTGAGTAGAGCCATGTAGATAATAGTGCAGCATGCTGTAGCAAGTGCTCGCATATAATAATTAGAAGTTATTGAAGCTTCAAATCCTTTTTTGAACAGGTGTTAATATTGAAATGCTGGAAATAAAGGAAAACTGGAAACATATTTTGAATTTTTATTCCATCCAACATATCATTACATGCCTTTTATCAAAACGTTTCATGTTTTCTGAGTGTTACGAAAAATATAAGTCGTAACTTGAATCGGGTGACCATTATACCTGTCAGTGTCATGGTGAAAAATGTCTATGAATGTAATTTATTCAATCAATCACTTCTTCATTTACTGCATAACTGTCAATTAATCATCAAAAGCATCGAATTCCAAATCCTATTCCGTATGACATTACCTCCAATACCGTTTAGGATTCAAGAGTTAAACCACTTTCCGTCTAGAAAATGAAATTGATGGACTGGAAAATGTATGTAAAAGGTTTGCTCCTCGAAATAAAAATAACATTCAGACAATAACTCAAGCATGGTCATACTCGTACATACCAAAATCCTCGAGTATGAAAAAGCTAAGAAAGCTTTTGTAGATATACTGAAACACGTGTTGCGGTTTTGTGAACTATAACTGAACATCTCAAGTGTTGCAAGAATACTAATGACGTGAAACATAAGAATTGAGATTCAACAGAACTAGGAAAAAGTTTGACAAATATTATTTGGTAGACTGTCAAGGCAAACATTTCAATATTTCTGGGAACAAAATATTTTGGAATAAAAGTCATCATCACTTGAATGAATTTGTACCTCCAACATGACATAAACAGAAATAGTTACACAATTGCTAACATATAAGCTTTCATCTGAATTCAATATCACGACAAGTTCCGACTGGATCCCTCAGTTGTCCTTGAGGACAACCATTTCTTTTCACATCCGCTAAAGGTTGAGCAAGGAAGTCATCAAACACAGATTCGTTTTTTGTTGATGGAGTTGTTTTGATTGAACTTGATGGTGTCGTTGCAATGTTTTGTTTGGTGTACTTCTGCCGAGGGCCATGGTCCTCATCTGAAATGAAGAAAACAGTTATAAATAACTATGGGTGGGAAGGTACCCTGGTGGGTTGACGCGGGTGGTTTGCTCCACTCACTGAGTCGATCGCTGTGTGAACCGGTGGTTCAAGCTGCGAGGCCAAACGATCAATTTTTACTTCCCATCGTCCAACTCGTGTTAGGAACACACGGTGAAAGGTTAGACCTCGTTAGTCCTTAGCTCGCACAAGTTTCGACCTTTGAGGGTTGTCGTTCGTAAAGGGCGATAGCTGATTTACGAAAAAACTGATTTTAAACAGATTTTAACTCCAATAACGTAGTCATTGAGAAAACTCAGAGATACAGAAATACGTAGAAAGCGAAAGTAGTTAATTTTTTAGTTAGTTATTACAGTCTTTTCGAACAACAACAACAAAATACTAGTATCAGCTCACTGCATGTCTTGATACTTCCCTCGAGAAAAAAAAAATCATTCTGCACGATTATTTGATCTTGTGAAAAATCAACCCTAAATGTAAATATTTCATATCTGACGATTTCTGTCTGTCCTCAAAGTTATCAAAACTAAAACTTTCAAGGTGTACTGAAGGTCGTTAAAATAAGTATAATCGCTCACGTTTGAGTAATAATCAGAAATGTCGGGAATGACATATACAGGGCTTTTCATGATGAGCGTTAATTAGCCGTTTCTGACAAACTATTTAACGGATCAACCTGAAAATTTCACACTATGCATAAATCAATATGACCTACACGCCTGAAATATTTCAGACGACGCGGCGTTGTCGCTTCTACTATAAAGTAGCCGCTTTTTGATTTTTCAAATGGAACACCCCGTATATAATATCATATTATGATTCATTATCACTTTGTCAACAAATTCATATACTATTTTCCTATACCTATCTATTACCGTTTAGAAGATATAAATTAATTTCGATATTTTTTTTACCAAACATGAACTTTTATAAATGCTGATAATCTTGAACTCTCTTGCACTAAAACGATC